CTCTCTCTCTCTCTCTCTCTCTCTCTCTCTCTCTCTCTCTCTCTCTCTCCATATTTGGACTTTACTGATCTTCTCAAGTCGTTTTTATCCCTTGCTCCCTTTCTTACCCTCCCCATTAAAGCCCCGTCCAGAAATCTGTTGTTAATTTTAATCACTGATCCAAACTGAAATACATTTCTGCCAAGTCTCACTTCAACTGTGCCAAAAACTTCGTGATGGGACATTTTTGTCCTTGAGACGGGTTGTTAAGAGATTTTTCCTGTGAGCGTTTTTATGTATTTAATATTTTATTCTGACCTGAACTTTGGACTTGGACTGAGATTCATTTTAAAATGGACCAGTCTGTAAACTTTCTCTATTGTTTCCAAGATGCAACAACAAGCACTGTTAGCAGGAGCTGGGTTGATTAGAAGGAGTTAATTTCATGGCATGTAAAAGCAGGAGGGGGGCTTGTTGTAAAACACTGTCTGACTGCAGCCTGAGCTCATGTCTAAAACCATGCCTGAGAGTACCGGAGAGGAGGTGTTAGAGGAGCAGAACTGGGAGGTCAACTGGAGGTGGTGGTGCTTAATGCACATGGTGGGCAAACATGCATGTGCCTGTACAGATCTGGATACATTTATTCTTTAATAATGATAAAAACGCACAACTGATGTGATTTTCTAAAGGTTTTGTCTCATCAGACTTGTCAGCATTCATTTTGGTGAATTCCTATTCAGACATTTTTGTGTTTTTCTGCCAATAGTGAAGCCTCCTGGGTCCATGAAGTCCACTAAAACAGTGGTTTTTAAACGTTTTTAAGTTCCAGCCCTGGCGGCCCACAAAATAACCGTTGCAGAAACATGTGACCCCAGATATTACAGGTTTGCAAACTTTGCTAAAACCTCTGATAAAACAATATAGACAAACGTAATAATGCTGCTGATATTCTAAAACTATATATATTTTTGCAATAATAATGACAAAAATATTCGATAAGCAATTTATTTGCATTCATAGCTGATGTCTGGAAATTATCTGGGGACCCTCACTTGATGTTTCATGACCTACAAAGGGGTCTCAACCCCAACTTTGGGAACAACTGCTTTAAAAAGTAATGGATGGTGTGATCAGAAAGGGACCTTGGAGTTCGGCTTGAACAGTTTTGATAGTTTCCTTGTTCTTTTCCTACCATCTGCCCTTTTCTACCCTTATGACCAACCAGGGGCTGCATTTCTTCTTGCGTCCACCTCTTATCCCTTGAACCTGATATTTTACAGAACATTGGCAGCTATGATCAGAGCCATTACCTTTAATATGAACATGTGTAATTTTCTGTCTCAGCTCCTCGGACAGCTCTCACCTTTACTTTCTGTGCTCCATGCTTAGCATGGTGCACATGATGCCAAAATACTATGTGCCTGTTTTTTCCCTTTAAATACGATTGACGGTTGTTGAAAAGCTACTACTAAGCTAAGACAAACCGTGTTTATGCTGATGATGCTGAGGCTGCCAAAAGTGTCAGTCAGTAGTTTTTTAAAAGCGGAAAACGATGTAAAAAACTGGCACACTTTGGGCTAGCAATTAGCTTAACCTGGACAAAAACTTTTGCCTCTTTCTCTATGTTTTATACACCTGATAATGTATTAACTATTCATGATTATCTGACATAACATCACTTCAAAGTTGACTAGGCTGTACCAACAAATCTGTGCATGGTTTTCAGTGTACTTTTGGGAAAGAAACACCAGATTTTACTTGTATTTTTTAATGTTTTATTTGTTTACATTATCACATACTAAAGCCATGCAAAGACAAATGTTTTTAAAGGGCCCGTGACATCAAATTTTTGTAATAAACATGAATGTATTTTTGGAAAGATAACATTGATAACATTTTGTAAAATAAGATTTCATGCCGCTGAGATGAACAGTTGTTAAGATATTTGCATGTGAAGAAACAGGAAGTGATGTCAAAGGGGAATGTCTGCATGTGAACAGAGCGTTGCTACAAAGGCCAACAGACTGTAGAGAAGAATCTGATGTTTCTTTAGATCATTTTAATCACTATAATGGAGAGATGAGAAAGGGTCAGAGTTCAAATAATATTAAGTAAACAAAAAAGAGAGTTCCCCTATGATGTCACGTCCTGTTTTACTTTAGCTGAGCCAAAAGAAAATATGTCAATTATGTGACATAATGGGTAAAATCTTGTGTATTATGCCACATTTCTTAGATACAAATATATTTTCTTTGACCTTGTGTATTTCATGGAAATGCATGTCACCATATGCGTAATTTGCAGTGGGGTTAGTGGGGTTATGACCCCCACAATAATTTGATCCAGTCAAAATAACCCCCCCAATAAAATGACATTGTTTGCTCAAACACAATAGAAATTAACTGGTTAAGTAGACAGATGAAGCTCTCGTGTTTTCTTTAGGTAGGCTACCTTTAACCTGATTTAAAAATTTACCATGTCATATACACTCACCGGCCACTTTATTAGGTACACCTGTCCAACTACTCGTTAACACTTAATTTCTAATCAGCCAATCACATGGCGGCAACTCAGTGCATTTAGGCATGTAGACATGGTCAAGACAATCTCCTGCAGTTCAAACCGAGCATCAGTATGGGGAAGAAAGGTGATTTGAGTGCCTTTGAACGTGGCATGGTTGTTGGTGCCAGAAGGGCTGGTCTGAGTATTTCAGAAACTGCTGATCTACTGGGATTTTCACCCACAACCATCTCTAGGGTTTACAGAGAATGGTCCGAAAAAGAAAAAACATCCAATGAGCGGCAGTCCTGTGGGCGGAAATGCCTTGTTGATGCCAGAGGTCAGAGGAGAATGGGCAGACTGGTTCGAGCTGATAGAAAGGCAACAGTGACTCAAATAACCACCCGTTACAACCAAGGTAGGCAGAAGAGCATCTCTGAACGCACAGTACGTCGAACTTTGAGGCAGATGGGCTTCAGCAGCAGAAGACCACACCGGGTGCCACTCCTTTCAGCTAAGAACAGGAAACTGAGGCTACAATTTGCACAAGCTCATCGAAATTGGACAAGAGAAGATTGGAAAAACGTTGCCTGGTCTGATGAGTCTCGATTTCTGCTGCGACATTCGGATGGTAGGGTCAGAATTTGGCGTCAACAACATGAAAGCATGGATCCATCCTGCCTTGTATCAACGGTTCAGGCTGGTGGTGGTGGTGTCATGGTGTGAGAAATCTTTTCTTGGCACTCTTTGGGCCCCTTGGTACCAATTGAGCATCGTTGCAACGCCACAGCCTACCTGAGTATTGTTGCTGACCATGTCCATCCCTTTATGACCACAAAACCATTACTAGCGTGGTGTACCTAATAAAGTGGCCGGTGAGTGTACGTATGTGCGTTTAAGCATGGTTGAGAATGTGTTTTGTCTGTTGTTTTGTTCATGTCGCCCTCGTGTGTCTTCTCAGTGTATTTACCACTCATCCTTCCTCAGTCTGTTTTCTAGGTCACTCTTGGTATTATGCACACCTGTCCCTTGTTTTGTAATCAGTCCCCTCTCCAGCTGTCGCTCGTTTCTCAATTCCTCTGTTAGTATATATTCTGGTTCAGTTCTTCATCTCATCGCTGGTTCATTGTTTGGTTCCCCTACCATACTGTCTGATGTGCTTCGTGGTCTCCTTGAGTTTGTATTTGTTTGCTGCCTCGACAGCTTTTGATTTAACTTTGTTAAATAAATCTTTTATTTCTAAAAACTTAACTCTCCGCCTGGAACTGGGTTCGCTCCTCCACCACATCATCACAAGCATAACCGCTAAAAATGACATGCAGGATTTCATAGAATAACCCCTTTAAGTTACGCCCTTGCGTGTCACAGGTAAGTGAATCACTTTTCGCAAAAAACAAAGCATGGTTTCTAAGAGCTAAGGGTAGTAACAAACCTATCTGCAGTTTTTAGTTGGACAAGAAGAAAGAAAAGCAGGCGTGACGGTGAGAGAAATGAAAACAAAACCAGAGGAAAGAGGTAAGAGGCAATACAAAGTTATGAGAAGGAGGAGGAGGAGGGGAGCGTTTGGAGGACCATCAAGAATTTGCCTTTTAAGGGGTACAGTCTGACTCTCCCAAGCCTCGTGAGCTCCTGCGTAGCAGCCAAAACACCGCAGAGAGGAGCAATAAACAACAGCAAAGAGCCTGTGCAGAATAATGTGAGTACTCTTAGATTAAAAACAAATACTGGGGAACTTTTCCCATCCAGCTTTTTAAAAAAACAACACACGTCTTCTGCTTTCCAGGTGTGGATTCTGTGGGTTTTTCCAACAAAGACCTGTACAGCGTCAACAAGGGCCCGGTTTGTCCAGCGCTCGGTCCATGAGTCACCGGTTTGCTCAGCATCCTGACGGCGAGCGCTTTCTGCACAACAATGTGTCGTTGCTGTAGGGGCTGAAGTTGGAGGATCGGCCTGTTTCTGGGAGAAGGAAACAGAGAGATGGGTGGGGGTGTGAGAACAGAGAGGTAATTGTGTATGTAAAGAGTGAGGCAACCGTGGCAGAGGGGGCAGAAGCAGGAGGAGAGGGAGAAGACGTGCTCCTGGGATGTTGTTGGGGCGACCGAAGGAGACGGAGAGGAGTGAAGAGCTGGAGATTGGATGTTTAAAAGAGGGAATGGGGATGTAGAGGGAAAGGTAGAGCAAGTGGCTGAGAAAGTTGGAAAAAGGAGGTTTTAAAGGGGGGAACCGAGTGCTGCAGCAGGACCGTGCAGGAGGTGATTTTAAAAAAGTGCTTTTACAAAAACAAAAAGGACAGAGAGTATCCTTCCTCCTGTACCAGAGCCAGGAAAAGGGGGAAGGGCCTCCTCCTCGTCTCCAGCTGAGAAAAACAGCTGCCCAGGAGCGTGCTCACAGAAGACAGAGGCGGGGAGGACTCTCATAGACCCACACAGTCCTGGACCCCCACACCCCCACCCTACGCCATCCACAATCTACCTATATGGGTTGTGTCCTGAGCTCCGACTGGTGTGGGGAGGGAGAGGTGCAGCCGGTGCCGGTGGTCCGGAGCGCGTCTCTGAAGAGGAGTGAGAGCAGCAGGATGAGGCTGATGAAGGTCAGTGTGCATGTGGAGCCCATGTGTGTCTGTTTACGCTCCAACACTTTGGTCCAGAATAAAATACTCATCGTTTCTTTTAATCATATTCAAAATCTCAGTTATGTTGCTGTAAAACCATTTCTTCATACTTTGTCCAACTTGTAATTAAGAAAAAAAGGTTGACTTTTTGAGGGCCTTTTTTTTTAGATATTGGCTGCTTTAATTTGCTCTACTATGCTACGCCGTACATTCACTAAAACTGCTTAAAAATGCTAACTTAAATCCACATCATTGACTGACGTCTAGTTTTACTTTTAGTTCATTTTGTTGTTTGAGATGCAGTCATCTCAGTGTCTATGTCAATGGGTTTTAAATTAGGATGCACAATATATTGGTATTAACATAGATATCGGACGATATTGGTAATTTTTTTTAGAATTTCGGCATCGGTTCGATATGTAAAACTGGGCCGATATTAACGTCCGAAATTGATTTCCCTATTTTTATCTTTGTGTTTGTGTTTTGGGAGAGGAGATGGTTGGTTGAGCGGCATCTGTTTGATCCTGATAGTGATATTGACGCTGCAGCCAGGAATAACTGTAGAGCCATGTCAGAGGTCTGGTTGTTTATTTACAATATCAAAAATAGATCCAAGTGTGTTTGTGCATACATGTGTAATATAATTTGTGTGTTTGTGTAATATCGGTTATCGGCATAACAGCAATACTTATATCGGATATCCATATCGGCTGAAATTTTCATATCGGTGCATCCCTAGTTTTAAACGTTTGTTAAATCGTGGGATGATGAGAAACGTAATTTTGATTGCTTGTATGTTGGAAACGTGAAGGAATTGACAATAAATCTGATGTTGCATGACTTGATTTTTTTCCCATTTTTGTAAAAAAATAATGAATTGAGTAGATTAACTTAAGGTTAGACCCGAAAAGCTACATATTAATTAAAAAAAGGTTTGTCTTTTAGGAATGGGATAAAATCCAGAAAAACCTCCACTGTTTGATTTTCAGAGTTTTAACAGTTTCTGTTTTTATCAACAGTACTTTACTATGAAGCTATGTACAGTAAGTTACTGTTTAAGGATTGATGGCTAATTAATGGAGCGACAGACTCAGCATCCAAACAAGTCATAAAACACCAAATCAGGACTCTTAGCATGAAATCGGAAATTAGATTAAATGTTTTAAATGACTTCTAGTTGCATATTTTTATCGTAGCTGTCGTGTTTGTCTCAAATTTCAAACATTTTGCAACTTGTTTAAATTCAGAAAAAAGCACGAAGTTGATATGAAAACACTTTCTCAGCCGTTTCTCATACGTCAGCATCTGTCACCTGCTTTAGTCACTCTTGATTTGTCTCGTTTGGATGAACGACCTTCACCTTTATCCAGCTGTGTGAAAACATCTGCTCTCAGATTCAGTTTCAGCCCCTGTTCTGTCAGAAATGTGTTTTTTTTCTCCTCTTTACTCTCTGAACAAAAACCCAAGTTGGAGAACACAAATCAAAGAAAGGAGTCAGTTTGAGACTGACGTTAGTTTGCGATGGGTTCTCGTCCGTGTGTCCTTTCTTTGTTTGGAGGAGATGATGTGGAGAATCGTGGCATCTCCAGGCTGGAGCCACCTCTGTGCGGCTACAATGGTTCTGTTGTCATGGTGCCGGTGCTGCTGAGGAGTCACCGTTATGTAAACAACACAAGAGGGGGAGGGGGGCTCGGACCCAGAGATGGTAGAAAAACTGACCTCTGACCAACAGTTTACATCATGTAGGGGCTTTTTTCCATTAGGTTTGTGAACATTCTGTTTGTAGAAATCCCTCTGTGCCTGGTGTGCGTGCTTGCGTGCGTGTGTGTGTGTGTGTGTGTGTGTGTGGCTTTGTTCTTGCTACTTGGTGGGGACGATTTTTCAGGAAAATGCAGCCTTGTTGGGACCGGATGCTCCCTGTGGGACCAAAGCCTGGTCCCCACAACTTCGGAGGCTGATTTTGGGTGGAGGGGTTGGGTTTAGGACCAAGGAGTGAATTGAGTTTAGGTTAGTTTTAAGGTCAGGTAGGTACCTGTGAGGTTAGCCTTAGGGTCAGGTAGGTACCTGWGAGGTTAGYYTTAGGGTCAGGTAGGTACCTGTGAGGTTAGCCTTAGGGTTTGTGGTCAGGGTTAGGCTGTAGAAATGTAATGGAAAATAATAGAAGTCCATGAACAGTCCTAATAAGGATAGAAATACAAACCTGGGTGTGTGTGTGAGCATGCCTGGTCCCAGTGGTTCTGTATCACATGCAGAGCAGCGTGGGAATGTGGAGCTTTCTGGACCACGTCACCCTGCGGTGACTGACCCCGGGCTTTAAGGGTGTGGGAACCAGTTGGGTCCCAATAATCCCGAACAGGAGACGGTGTTTTTATCTATTTATGGTCTGGCTTTAATAAACCCTGGTTTTCATTATCCCCACCCCCAACCCTGAAAGGCAAAATGCAGATGATGATGTTTCTGTGTGTCTGTCTGACTGGTTAAATCTCCATTGTAAGATAAGTTAAAACTGTGCATTCCTTCAAGTAAGCCTTTCTATTCTGAATGGTTTATATGTGAAAAATAGTGTAGTAAGTGTATTATTAAGTCAAAAATAGTTGTTTACTCTGCCCAATGCCAAGAAAACCAACTTGTTTTTCAGCGTGATTACACAAGTTGATGTTTTTCCAGCAGCACGAGAGAGAGCTGTTTCATTTACAGCATATTTGTGTTTACAGAGCTGTGCTGCAAACATTCGCTTCAGAAAAAAGTTTCACGATTCTGTGAGCATTTGAATGAAAAGGCCGATGAACTGAGCTCGTCACGACTTCCAGTCTGCCTCCGTGTGCAGCTGGAGAGGAGCTGAGCGTCAATAAACAAGCTTTTTACAGATGGATGGCGGATGTGAGCAGCTCCCCTCCACAGTGATTCATCTGGTTTTATCTTTAAAGCAAAAACACGCCTCAAAGCTCCGCCTGATTTAGGGATCAGGTGGGACCTGCTACGTCTAACAGAAGGAATCCAGCTGCTGCAAAATTAGATTTTTTTGTTTTTGTTTTCACATTATTGGTCTGTAAAGTCAGTCAGTTTTTGCTAGAGTGAAGTGTCAGGACTATGGAGGTAATTTAGTTTTTATCCAATCCAACAAAAAAAGCAGTTTCAATCCAAAAATTTTTTTGTTTGTTTTTTTGCAAAACAGAAACTTTATTTTTATTTTTTCGCATGTTTCACAAGTTTTTAGTTGAACTCAAAAGTTTTGACCTCGGAGAACATGAACATCCAGGGCGGGGCCTAAAGAGGAACTATGTCAGACGTGTCCCTATTGTTGGTGCGGACTGAAGCGAAGAGGAAATCGCTTCAGTCCGCACTTTTTTTGATTGAAATGGCTGTTTTGTTTGGTTGAAATTATTGTTTTTTTTGAATGAAACTGCTTTTTTGTTTGAACAATAATAAAAGAAAACTAGAAGCACTTGGAGATTGCAAAGCTCCGCCAATACCAATTTCCTCCGTCCTGTAAGAGTTAATGCACAAAAGCAGAGATGGAAACACATTTGCCGAGTAAGTTCTGACGTAGCGAACATTTAAGCAGCAGTATGCACGGGATTTCTTCTCTGTGGAGTACAATGTGAAAAAAAGAGTCAGACTCGTCACCCGACGTTATTCATCATCAAACTGGTGTGGGATTAAGCTCCTAAGTTTTCATCAGTCACATTTCACCATGTAAAACGTCTGTTTTATCCCCTTGTATGAGTTTGTGATGGTTTGACTCTCTTTATAAAGTGCTTCCTGATTCCCCCCGTCTCCAAACTTTGAGGCCCGGCAGCTCTCTGTTTACAAGCCTAGTAGTGAAAAACTGTTTTGGTGGGTTGTTTTGGAAATGTGGTGTGTTTGAGGAAATGGGAAAAATAAGTTTCATGGTGCAGTCACGCACTTCCTGGTCACAAAACATTCTGTAAATGTCGTATTATGGCAAAAAAAATTATTCCTCATTAAATGTGGTTTTAACATTACTTTTATAAAGTCTGAAGTCTATGCTGTCCAATCCAGTTCACTGGTTTTTACAGAAACCCTGTGAAAGCATCACAGCTTTGCCGATCTCAGAAGATAAATAGAAAAAAAATTCCTGTATCCGCATCGTGATCCGGAACATCACCAAAATTTAAAGGTGTGTTCCTTCACCCAGTACCTACATGTGGTAAAAATATCATGACAATCCTTCTGCATGTTTTTGAGTAATGTTGTCCACAGACAGACAGACAGACATGACCGAAAACAGCCCTTGGCAGAGGCACTGGACTTGGGTCCCACATGGTCTCTTGTAAAGGACTGAGTGCAGGTCTTTTTGTAGTTTGGAGCTTCTTAATCTGAATTCTCACTGCAAACATACTGACTAACAAACCTGCTTCTGGTCAATCCAAATTAAGCCATGTTTTCATGAGGCTTCCTATTTGAGGGGTGCAGCTTGGGTTTAAAGTAAGGGTGCGGTCCTAACAAAGATAGAAACACAAACATATGTCTGTGTGTATGTTTGTTGACTTTTAAACTATATATTTACATGAAAACTGCAGTTTTAGACATATTTGTATTGCATCCCTGTAATTTCTTTTTTAGAGAAAACTTTAAGATGACCAGTCTAGAGGCCTTGAGCCACAAGCATCCACTAGACACACATATACACCCAACCCAGGAAGGAACAGTGACCAGTCAGGGATAAATATAACTGCATCCCATCCCTTGTTTCCTGCAAAGAATAGGAATAAATTCAAGCCTCACACTCCTTTTAAAAAAAGAAAAAAAAACAGTTCCTGTCAAAGAAAGACGAGACTCCCGCGGCTTGAAAACAGACGTTCATCCCAAACTCCGAGCTGGATTTGAGGAATGTTGCATGTTTTGTGTGTAGCGGTCACACGGATGAAAGCTGATCGAGGGAAAAGAGGAAAGACACAAAAACCATTTCCTCTCCAAAACAAATCCTCAACAACGCCCTGAAGAGAAACACCTCC